CCCGGCAGGGCCCCCGCTTTCCAGAGCCATCTGTCTGTACATCTGCCTGTCAGCAGGCATGACCCCTCAGCCACCCACGTGGGGAGGGGTGTCCACGTTTCCTGCCCGGGGTCAGGACAGAGCCTGGCGGTCTGCGGGCGCTCGCGGCTCCCGGGTGACCAGGCTCCCTCCCCGCAGCCATGGACTACAGCGACGGTGCCATGCTCGAGGCCAGGCGTCTGCTCCGTGCCATGGCCGCCTTTGTGGAGGACGCTCGGGCCTACATGAGGGGCCAGCTGGCGGGCGGCCCCGTCCAGGAGGACGTGCTGTGGCAGAGGTGGGTGCTACTCAGGACCACCCGAGGCAGCGCTGTGGACACGGGGCTGGGGCTGGTGGGAGCCCCAGGCCCGCCAGGGGAGGGACAGGGACCCTGCCTTCGGGGAGGCCTGGACGGCCCACGGTCGCGTGGGAGCGTCAGGAACCTCGTGGATGGCGTGGTCGACAGGAAGTGGGGCAGGTGGGCAGACGAGCGAGCTGCTGAAGGAAGGAGGGGGGACCCGGGTCGCGGGACGGGTTGATGGGCGCGTCCGGAAGCCCAACGTGTGCCCCCCGCCCCCCGGGGGTCGTGACCACAGGCCGGCCGTGCCTGCAGAGGTGCGAGCACAACAAGGGGCCCCGGGAAGTGAACTGAGTGGTGGCGCGGGTGGGAGGACGGAGCCCACCCCGGACGCGGAGACGGTGTTTCCAGTTCTGTTGCTCGGTAAATGGCTCGACGTGGTCATCTGTTCACTGCATCCAAAAAAAGGCGAGGAAGGTTTGAGATTGGCTTCAGAGACGCTGAGAAACTGGGAAGACGAACAGAGCCTCGGGGGATACCAGAGGGAGATGAGGGCAGGGTCATCGGGGGTCCCCAGAGGCTGATGGTGGGCGGGGTCTGTGTGCCCCGCCACCCAGGGAGCCCCTGGAGGAGTAGAGGCCCCGGGGCTCCTTCGGGGCTGGCCGGCCGGGAAGAGGGCATCTACAGGAGAGAGGCAGGAGCTGCCTGTTGGTCACAGCAGTGGTGCCCAGGACGAAGCCCAAGCTCTGGGGCCGGGCAGCTGGGCCTTGTGGGGCTGGGAGCCGTCAGTCACTCGGCCACCCTCCCAACGGTGGGTGCCAGGGAAGGGCTGGCAGTGCCGCTCACCGGCAGGCGTGCAGGGGAGAGTCTGCACCTCAGTCAGGAGAGGTCAGGTTACGCCAGCTGACAGCGCTGGGTCGTAGGAGCCCAGGCAGCAAAGGTCTGTGTCTCCCTGTGGTCACTCGGGCCCAGGCTCGGCGGCTCTGCCCAACCCTTTCCTGTGCCTGGGGAGCAGGGCACCCGGAGGAGGTGGGGAAAGTCTGGGACGAGAGGCAGCAGGGAATCAATACGGTGGCAGAGCCTCGGAGGGGCCGGTGACTGACCGGCAGGTGTGCAGGACAGCGTGTGAGTGAGGGGTGGCTCGAAGGGGACCTGACGGTGCCGCTAGGGACAGGTAAGGGGGCAGGCGAGGAGGAGGTGACGGTGACCTCAGTTTCCTTGCCAGGGGCTGAGGGGCTCGAGCGTCACAGCAGCCGGCTCCTGAGGGTGTCTGACAGCAGAGGGAAGGAGCTGGAAGGGCTGCCCCAGGGGCGGGAGCTGAGGGTGGAGCCCCCGGGGGGCGTCCGTCCTGGGGGCCCGGCCAGCGCTGCAGCTCCTGCCACCCAGCCGGGTCCCTGGAGCGGCCGCGTCTGCTCACCTCCCCAAAGGCTGGGCCGCACCAAGGGGGCCGTGCAGGTGGCGCTGGCGGACGACTTCGACACGCCGGGGGCGGTGGACGCCGTCATGGACCTGGCTCACCACGGGAACAGACAGCTGAAGGCGGCTGCCGAGGTAACTCCTGGGACATGGCGACAGTTCTGAGGACAGAGCAGACGCCACCTCGCCAGCCCCTGGGGCCACCCAGCTCCCAGAGCCGGTGGCCTCCGGGCCACCCCTGCATGTGGCCCCATCCTGAGCCGGGGTCAGTAGAACTGGGGGCCGTGGGGAGGCCCGGCACGTGGGCACAGGAGCTCAGGGGAGTCCGAGTTTGTCACACAGATGTGAGATGGGGAAGGAAGCCGGGTGGGGACCCCGACTGCCCCCCAGCCCTGCCTGTCCCTGGGCCCTGGCGCCAGGCTCCTCTCGGACGCCCAGGACCCTGGGACGCCCCGAAGGCCACCTGCTGCCGCCGCCGCCCGGGGGCTTGGTGCCAGCACAGGCGCTCAGAGCACAGGCCCCGGCGGCGGGCGGGAGCGCCGGCTTCGCAAGGCTGCGTCCGCGCCCACCGGGAGCTGACCTGCCCGGGCGGGGTCGGTGCTCTTGCCTTTCAAGAGCCTTCTCTGGGTGACTTGTTGCAGGCGGCCGGGGGTCCCAGGAGCCCTGCTGTGTTCGGTGCCGTCGTGTCCTACGTGGAGCAGTTCTTTGAGACGGTGGGGATTTCTCTGGCTGAGCGACAGGTATGCTCTTCTCTCTTCAGTCCTTGACTGTGGGACTTAATCTACACGCTAACACTGTAACAGCCGCTTCTTTCCTTCAGAAACGCGGATTTTAACGGTAGTTAAAGGCCAGACTTACCACGTGCTTAAGATGTGTTATGTTCCTTAAAAGGGGAACAGACGCAGAGCTGGGATTTACTAACCGAAACAGGGTTCTCAGCAGGACAAGCGTGCACCTCAGCTGCACAGTGAGTGGTGAGCCACGGTTCCGTGTGCACTAGTGTCCGGGAAAGAACCTCAAAGTGTACACAGCAGTCAGGCTGCAGGGGACACGTTTCTCCGGAGCCGTCTGAGCTGCCGGCCGGGTCCCAGCCGTCAGGGATCCCCGGGCCTGGACCCCCTGGCCGCCCACGTCCCCGTCACACACTCCTCAACAGAGGCCCACTCCAGGCCCGTGGGCTGTTCGGCCACCGGGTCTCCGGTCCCCTGTGTGTGGAACGTCCCTTGGCCTTCCATGGCCTTTTCCTGCCCTGACACCCCGGCTCCTTGGGGACTCAGCACATGTGATGCCATCCTCTGGGCCGTGATCCCCGTCTGTCCCGCGCCCGGGATGTGCACCGTGACCACGCTGCAGAGACCCTTCCTGGCACCACTGTGGAATCGGGTCCTCCTCCCGCTCGCTGCTGGGGGGCGGAGCGTGGAGCTGGCCGTGGTGCCACACACGGCCCCATCCCTTTGGCACGTCCCTGCACTGACGTTCCCAGCCCATCCGGTACCTTGTGTCGCAGGCAGGAGTCGGCTTTTCTCCCAGGAGCCTGGCTGCTCTCAGCGGGGAGGGTCTGGGCACTGAGTGCTCGCTGCACTTGGCCACAGCTGCTCTGGCCCTAGGCGGGCAGAGCCAGCCCCCGAGATCCTGGATCCCCTCTCCGTATCGACTGTTACCCCCGACACATCGACTCCGGTTCCCGACAGTCCCAAGCCACCTCCCTCCCCTCTGGGCTCCCACCTCCCAACATCACTCCCCTGCTGCCCTCCCCATGTATACCTGTCTCCCCACGACCACCGCCTCTCCCCTCACCCCCAGCAGGCTGTCCTCTGCACAGAAGCGTCCTTGCCTGACGCCCCAGGCCAGGGTTCCTCCTCCTCCAGGGGGCCCGCCTCGCTCTGCCTCACTTAACAGCCTTAGGACTGTTGTTCAGGACCAAAAAGGAATGGGCCATAGCTGCCACTTTCTAAAAAAGTGTGAACAGGCTGTTAACAGGGAAGCCTGGACTGCACACGGGGGGACGCCACCCCGGGTCTCCCTGTGGACACTGCCGGGCCACCTGCTGCCGTGAGGCCTGGGCACAGCCCACACTGCCAGGCCGTGGACCTGCCAGCTGAGGCCTGGCACCAGCTGCCCTGGCCATGAGCGGGGATGTCTCCTAGGACTGTTAGGCTGTGAGCTTCTCTCAACAGAAAGACTCGTGTATCTCTGCAATGTTTTGTTTGATCGAGAGACACTGGTTCCCTAGTGGACTGTGGCCTTCCCTGCGTGGTCCAGGGCCTGTTGGCGGCTCACACTAGGCTGAGGGGACCAGGTCTATGCTGGGTCACCAAAAGCCCACCTCCTCCCCGAGCTGGGGCGCCCCCGGAGCCCGCTGGGGGCTCACGTCTCTGTAACGAGCTGTCTTCTACTGTGGGAGCAGTGGCTGGGGATCGCGTGAGCCGGCCCCTCCTCCGTGGGGTGGGGGTGGGGTCGGACGCCTGAAAACTTGGAAGGGCTCCACGCCCACGCCAGCCCTGGAGCTCCCCCAGCCGGCACCCACACTGCTGGTCCCCGACCCCAGGCGAGAGCGCCGCGGGGCTGCATGTGCGCGCGCCCACCCGTGCACAGAACGTCCAGGGCCTTGAACGGTGGCTGGAGCGAGCAAGTTTGGTTTCCTTGGTCAACGAGGCCCAGGCCTGCCGGCTCTGCCCAATGACCCTCCAATGCTGCCCGTCTGCAGTGGCAGCTCCCGCTCACCAGCCTGGGCGACCGGGACCTTAGGGCGAGGCGTGGGGAGGGAGACGAGCCGCGCCCCCTGCCCCTCCCTGGCCCGGGCCCGTCCGCTCACCCGGCGCCTGGGCAGTGTGTTTCAGGGGCCAGCGGCCCGGCCGCCCTGCACAGCGTGGTCGAGGAGCTGATCCGCTTCCGGCAGAAGGTCCGGCAGTTCGCTCTGGCCGCGAGGGAGGCCCCCGGGGAGGCGCAGCGGCAGCTCCTGGACAGGCAGCCCCTGCTGGAGGCGTGCGACGCGCTGCGCCGGGACCTGGCTGCCCACGGCGTCAGCATCAAGGTGAGCGCCGCCCCGCCCCCAGCTCTGCCCCTGCCCCCGCGCCCTCTCACCCGGCCCGTCTCCCTCCCCAGGACCGGGGCGGCGTGTCCACGTGGGAGCTGCTGGACCCGAGGACAGAAGACCCCAAACCAGGGAGCTGAGGACACGGGATGCGGAAGCCATGGCTCCCGGCGCGGTTCTGTGCTACCTCAAGTCACGATAAAAGCTTGATGTTAAAGTTTCTGTTGTGGCTGCTCAGTTAACCTTAAACCAAACTGTCACTGCCCCACAGGTGTTGGTAGATGTGCTGGAGAATGGGTTTCGACGGCCATAGACGCAGTAGTTCAGTAAAGTCACATCAGCCCACACCGTGGTCTCTGGCTCCTGAGCCCGGGGCGTGACCTCATGGGACACCCCTGAAACCGCGAGACCAGGACGTCAGCCCTACACGGGGTCCCGGAAGACGTCATGGGAAGGGCAGGCGGGACCCCTTCCCCGGGGTCACCTGGTCTCAAGCAGGAGAGCGGCCTGTACCCCACGTGCTGGGCAGTGCTGGACTGGGCGTGGGCATACGGTTTTACATTTATTTTCCTGGTTACAAAGTAACGTGTTAACCACAGAAAGCGCCAACAGAGGAAACCCCTGCAAGCGTCCAGCCCATTTCCTCTGAGTGATAGGCTCTGTTTCACCTCTATTCTGTCTGACCTCTTCCTTAAACAGTTGGTTCTTGGGGTACCGTCCTCTGCTGCCTCTGAGCAGACACCACGGGGCCAGGGCTGTGCTCGAGTCTGGGTGACACGGGTGAGGGCACAGGTGTGACAGGCGGGCACGAGGCGGGCGACCTGGGACCGAGCTTGCTGGCGGCCTCATGCTCCGTCTCGTTTCTGTCGCAGGCAGGGAGCTACAGCTGTTCAGCCAGCAGGAAGCGGGGTGACCCTCTCGCCGCTTCCCCCAGCTCTCAGCCAGGCCACCCCGTGTCCACCGCTGTGGGGCTGGCACTGACTGATCCTGCAGGCGCGGCCCCGGGCAGCAGGTCAGCACCTGTCAGGCGCTGCGTGGACGGCCTGGCTGGCCCGGCAGCCGCCTTAACTTCGTCACTGACCTTCCTGACCCTGAAAGGCAGGGGGTTCCTGTTCTACAGATGAGGAAGCCCGTTCAGAAGCTGACCTGCTACACGGGACCCAACCCGTGAGCAGTGGAGTCAGGATCCCAGAGGGCAGGCAGGCCCCTGACATGGGACAGGCAAGCAGGGCCGCTCAGTACTTGGGGCAGGCTGTCCGGCCGGAGCCTGAGCTGGCCGCCAGATGTGCTTTGGTGCTGGTCTCCTGGTGGAGTGTCCTCAGCTGGAGCTAGAGCGCGCCCGGGTTTGCAAAGTACAAGGAGCAACTGCTCACCTCGTTCAGAAGCATGGGCCCTGAAGGGTGCTTTCTCAAGCAAGGGGATTCAGGGCAGAAACGCAGCAGTTCCCGTGCCGGCTGAATCTTGTCTTCTATGGAAGGAAACAGCTGCGCTGTGGGCTTAACACTTCATCGGCACTGGTAGGCGGTGGCGAAAACCACACCATTAGGCAGACGGGCTTCCATGTTTTCGTCTTCCTAGTATCTGAGAATGTCCTCAGGATTAAGCTGAGAGGTGGATTCTGGCTGTTTAAGAAAAAAATACAAAACTCTCCCTTGGAGAAAACCAGATCTGCTTTTTAATAGAGGCCACGATTTAGGCGTAATTCCCCGAAGGAAACAATGTCCGTGACACTTAAGCTCTTCCACAGTTAGATACGAGGTAACAACGGGAAACATTTTAAAGGAAATCTTGAAAGTGCACGACTATTTAGAGGAAGTGGGACCTTTCTGCGGGGAGGTTTCTGACCACAGAGCAGGAGCCCCTGGGGAAAGACAGGCCAGGCCAGGCCCCGCCCCACAGAAGGCGGCACCGACGCCTGAGAGTACACTCAAGCACACGTGCTGTGACCAGCCCCGCAGAGAGATGTGGCAGGAGATCCCGGGCTACAGAGAACTGCCCGCACAGCCGCGGCCAGGCCGGCCTGATCCAGGTGGGACAACTCACTGCTTCCAGAGAACTTCCTCAGAACGTTCCCGAAGCCACACCCACTCTCGCAGCAGAGCGACCCGCCGTCCTGCCCCGTGAGCAGGCATGAAGGCGGTGTTGGCGCCCCCCACCTGGGTGCCATCTCCCGCCTGACCCCGGAGCCCCAGGTGTCCCTCCCACTCCCACGTGCCGCGCTGGGGCCTGTCAGCCAGCACCCGACTGGCGCACAGGCCAGGGGCCCAGAGGCCCTACCTGTGCACTCGGGGGCCAGGGTCCCATTCGCTTCCCTTCTGTGATCTTCCCAGATGCCTCCAAGAGGGTTTCCAAGTTCTAACAGATTTCTTATTATTCTGAAATATTTCAACCAATTGACCAAAACAAGCAATGCTTAATATTTCTGCCCAGATGTGTCCAACAGAATCACGGTTCACGGTTCAAAAAGAAACAAAAATGAGCTAAAGAATGAATGCCACATCCCTTCGAGGACCTCAGGTTAAAAAAGAAAACATCACTTGTGTAGACAATTGAAAACGAGCGATGGGATCCCCCCGAGAGGACTACCGGAGGAGGGGAACTTCCCGCAAACAGAAGAATCGCACAGCAAAAGCCCATGACCTCAGCTGAGCTGGTGACAGATGGTCTTGCTGGCATGTGATTCTCTTCATTCTTTTCTGATATTGCCCAGAAGCTGAGAAAAGTTCAGGAACACTCTGTTTCCTATCATAACATCTCCAAACACACAGCAGTTGAGCCAGAAAGTGCTATGTTCCAAGCTCTGACACTGTCTGCATCAGCCCGCACGGCACAGACTCACACACCTCCCAGCGGACTCAGATGGACTGGAGGCGGGTCCCGTCACAAACGCAGCTCCCCCGTCGGGGCCACCCCTCCGTCTGCACCAGCTGAGGTTTCGAAGAGTCTGCTGAACGCGGGCCCGAGCTCCCTGATCATGTCCATGGCGGTGGTGGCGCGGCCGTGCTTCTGGAAGGCTTGGCGGGCACACTGCCTGGTGAGAGCGCAGGCACCAAAGGCAGCCACGAGGAGCGGGCTGGACCTACGGGGGAGCGGCATTAGCGGGGCATCGTGGCCACCGAAGGCCCTCCCCGTCCCTCCTGTGGTCGCCCTGGGACCCACTCTGGCAAGTTCAGTTTAACGTGCCGCTGGGCCTATCAGAAATGCCCATCTGCCTGGAGAAAGGTTAGGATGCAGCCACATCCCGGCTGCAAGCCAGACTGGCGCTCGGACACAGGATAAGTGCTCGGTGGTGTTCTAGGCCCTGGAAGACACCGGAGCCTGGGGACGAGCTGCTTGCTATGTTCCTGGACCCATCACAGCCCCGCCGGCCCCCCGGGCCAGGTGTGCCGGAGCCCGGCACCGTCAGGGTCACCAGGATGCGCACAGCGAGGAGAGGCCAAAGGCCCTGAGGGGTGGGCTGCCCGGGCCCACCCTCTGGCGGCGACGGCAGACTCCACCGCTCAGGGCGCTGCACCCCGTGGACAGTCATCTCCCGGCACACGCTCTGCCCCTGCCTGCATGTCCCCCGAGGCACCGGTCCCGCAGAGCATGCGCCACAGACCCCCGAGCAGCACCCCCGACACCAGCAGGGACACCAGAGCCCCCGGGCGCGCGTCCTAGGACCAACCCCTGCCCTGGGGGCTCTTCTTCCACGAGACACCGGCCCCTCAGCGGAATGTTCCAAGCGGCCACTTATTAAACGTGCAGCTGCTGAAACAGCACCGGAGGAACAAAGACACGACTCACCCATTGGTCTTCTCGGGGCCGGCCAGGAGGGCCCAGTGCGCCAGGACGCCCAGGGAGCCCGACAGGAGGTCCCCCTGCCCGCCACACCTGCGGCCGCTGCCCTCCTGGCTGCACGTGAGCGCTGCAGGGCGAGGGGGCCGTGTGAGAGGGGCCGTGCTCCGTCACCTTGCACCACCCCACCCCCCGCCCGTCCTGACATGGCAGGCGGAGGCCCAGCTCCCCAAACCAGCACCGAGGGGTCTGTGGGGACAGGGTGGGGACGGCGCCCCCGGCCCAGGGACTTCGTCTGTGCCATGCCGGGAAGTTTCTATCTCTTGGGAAAACGTCTTAACCAGCTGCTACGCTCTCTCTGTGTTAAGAGTCTAGAGCACCTTCCAGCGTCTGAGCCACAGGCTTCAGGGCCAAGAGGAGGCTCTCTGCATCTCCTGTCCAGCGCATGACAGCGAGCGTGTGTGTGTGATGGTGTGTGTGAGCGTGCACACTCCTTCCTGGGCACCGGTTCCGTGTGTACAGCTCCCTCATCAACGCCTGGCGGGCTCTTGCCTCCGGGGCAGACTTCAGCAACAGGTGGACTCGTCTGCAGGGAGCAGAGGCGTCACGCACCGAACCCCGGTGTGGACATGGGCGGGCGGGCCTGCTGGGCTCTGCAGCCACGCTCGGAGCCCAGGGGCTCCCGCCCCACCGGCGGCTCCCTGGGTGTCTCCGTTTTCTGGGCGTTTTATAAAACAACAGGAAGCAGTGAAAGACTCAAGCAACTGCATCTGTGCCTCAGGTGAGGCGGCAACGGGCCTGCAGGGTCGCCTGCTGCCCAGAGCCTCTGCTCGGGGCTCTCCTTGCACAGCACGGACAGAACTGCACCCTGTACCTGGTGTCGACCAGGACCAGCATGCGTCACTGCCACTTCCCTTTGCAAAACAGCGAGAAACAAGACAAAAATGGCCTTTCCAGAAGCTGTGGGTGACACGCTCACCAGGGAGTCCCTCTCTGGGGGGTAAGTGTGCATGTGTGCCCATGTGTGACCGACCGTGCACGAACAGGAGGTCCTCCTGGGGCTGGTGCCCAGCGTGGCTGGCCGACACACGGCGTGAAGCCCTTGGCCACTCACCCTGCCCGCCATTAGAGATCACGTCCTGCTCCCCTTTCTGGACCACGGTGACGTTGCCCAGGGCCTGGCTGAGTCTCTGCACAGATCTGTAGCGGTCCCTGCCATCCAGGGGGTCTCCCAGCTATGACGGAGGACAACACACAGACACAGCTGTCATCAGACATGGGAAGAGCCCATCCACCCCGACCCCGCCTCATGTGGGGAAGGGCCCGCCGGGCACCTGCCGACGGCCGAGCTCGGGCCCCACGTGCAGAGACGTTTCCGTCCACCAGCAGGAGGGAGATCCTGAGTCAGGACTACTGGCCCATGGCTGGGATTGTAAAGGTCTGCGAGGGATGCGACTTCGAGTAATAACGAGCCAACATTTACGGCACTAATACGTGAGGACGCTGGACTTACATACACAGCTGACCCACGAACAACGCTGGTGTGAACCACGAGGTCCCACTTACATGTGGATTGTTTCCCATAGTACATACCACAGCCCTACACAATCCAAGGTTGGCTGAATCCACGGATGTGGGACCAAGGACACGGGGAACCGCGTATCCGGAGGACCGACTGTGAATCACACTCAGAATTTTGACAGTGTGCAGCCTTTAGCGCCCCTAACCCACGCTGTTCAAGGGTCAGCTGTATTATTTCGTCCTCACAAACCCTATGATGCAGATTCCATCATGCTCCACATTTTACAGAGGCAGGGGCAGGGATGGAATGATCCGCCCAGGGTGCACGGTGGCAGGAGGGCAGGCTGACCCCAGAGGCCACCTTTCATCCAAACAAAGACATGCTAACTGGAAGATGCCCCATCATTACACGCACCTGGGAATGCACCTGTCCACCCACCTCTGCATGTCTGTGTCCGCAGGTGCACCGCAGGACGAGCCGGGGCAGAGCCGCAGGGCGCACCCCTCACCCCTGCCCAGGACGTCAGCTGACTCACCACAGCCTCAGCAAGTCTGCTGAACTCCACGTGGTTGGGGGTGAGAACCGCCTTCTGGTAGCCTTGGATGAGGGCCGGCTGCTGAGCGACCAGCCACAGCCCGTCCTGCAGACGAGGACTCACGTCACTGCGAGGCCGCGGGGTCCCCTGGGAGGAGGGGACGGGAGAGGAGGCCGCACTCACCGCGTCGATGACGATGGGGATGCCCCTGGTCTTGGACGCTTCTAAAATGCCCTGCGAGGAAAGGAAGGCAGGCTGAGCAACAAGCCCGTCGCCTCTCAGAGAGGGTAGAAGAAACTGAGCAGGTCCTGACGGACTGCAACATCAGGCCATCAACCAACAGACAGGAAATAAGAAGGCAAATGCGTAAGATAGTCAGGAAAGAGACTTTGTAAGGCAGGGCCCCGGGAACTCTGAAAACAAGAGCCCACGGGAACCGTCACGCAGTGGTGGGTCCCAGGCCAGCCCACGAAGGACAACCCTGAGCCGGCACCTCCAAATTTCCAACAGACACTAGCCCTCAGGATTTGGAGCTGAGAGACCTGAAGTCTCAGGAGTTCCCCCAGCTCCTTAGTTTTTATCTGTTTCTCACAAGTAACACTTCACGTGTTTTCAAATGAATGACCGTAGTAACGAACAGTGCATCACTTCTCTCTGAGAATGCTATACTAAAGTTTGAGGTTTTTCGCTTGAAAATTCTGTGTGTCCGATCAACATGACTGCTGATTACTATCACCAGCATTTCATGACAAGGGCACTTAACGGCAACAGCGCGAGAAGAGGACCTCTACCCGACAGACACTGGGCAACAGAAGACGTTAGAAGAGCATGGCGAACGAGACACATGGCGAGCAGGGGTAACGTAAAACACTGGGAGATAAGCCCACGTCCGTAAAGTAGCAGTGAGGAGTGCAACCTCACCCAGCACGGCTGCCCTGCCCGACGGCCTCAGTCGCACCTGCCGACGCCAGTCCGAGTGTTGGGAGTGTGCCCAAAAGCCCCTTTGGTGGAGGGTCAGGGTACGGGGCCCATGGAAGGCTCTCTCCTCCTTAAACTGGAAATGCTCTGTCTGCTTGCCCCGAGTCGGGCGTTACTGTTAGAACCAATTCAGATTTTCTAAGTCTTTGTACTTTCCTACTAGAGCTCTTACAAAGACAGTGGCCCAATGAATGTTCAGACCCAGGAAACGTGAGCCAACACCACGGAGAGCACATTAGTAACATCACACAACGTGACACTCGGCCTCCTGACGCAGAGAATGGAGGGCTGGTCTTGCTTCCATGGCTCAGAGGGCCTGTGCACTTGACGCTGTCACGGTCACGGCATCTGGAGGGTCAGCGCCACCAGCACACGCCGTGACGAGGCAGCAAGCCCCGCGCACACACACATCTGGACAGCAACCTGACCTAAGGGAAGAACGGGCAAACGCAGGAGCCAGCCACACACAGGTCAGGAGGGCTAACGTGGAACAGGGAGCTTTCTACACACAAGGAGGGGGAGTGAGGAGTGGCAGCTCCCCTGGGAAGCTATCCTGGGAAGGGTAGCCCTTGCTGGAGAGCAAACCACTACAAGCTTCTGGAGAAATCTGGGAGCATCCCTCAAAAACGTTTCAGTTTCACACTGTGTGGCTGGACCACACTGACCCCACTTTGTCAGCTCCATCTCAGGCCCACAGCCCTGCCCCTTCCCCTCCCTGCGTGAGTGACTGAGCTTTACCCCACTCGCCAGGAATGCGCCCAAGATGGACAAGTTCCCTATCGACTTGACCATCTTTCTCTGATATGAAAACTGGAGGAGTGCCTCTGCAGAGACCCCACCCCGGGGGGGGGGCGGGGGAGAAATAAAGTCCAGTTCCCATCAGTGTAGACATGCGTCTCACTTGGGGGTCAGATTCTTTCTTCAGAAATCCCCTTGGACCCTTTCCGTGCAGCTAGGAACACCTGGGTCATCTTCCACCCGGTCCTGCCTGTATGTCAGTCCCCACGTAAACCTCAGAGCTGCACTTCACTCAGTTGCCTGCTTCGTTTTTCGGTCTTAATTAAAAGTTCCTTCTCAGTCCAGAAGACGTTATTCAGTATCTCCACCTTCCACAGATACTCTTTGATTCAGCAATGGAACTTCTATAAATTTATCCTAAAGAAAACACCCAAAAGAAACAAATAGATATACAGAAATGTTCAAGGCATCACTAATAGAAAAAAATGCTGTTAACGACTGAAATGAACTAGTTAAATACATTACAGCATATTATGATGAGGCTATAAAAAATAATGAACATCTGCATATCCTGCCAGGAAAAGTCTCCAAGACACATCCATCAAGGAATACAAGACAAGACACATCCATCAAGGAATACAACAAGCTGCAAAAGAGCACAGACACTAGGCGGGTCAGTCAAGATCCTACATCCTACATCCACAAACTCTGGTTCAAAACCAGCTTATGAACTGGAAGACTCAATATTGTTAAGACAGCAGTGATCCCCAAATTGACCTAGAGATTCAAGGTGACCCCTACCCAAATCCCAGTTGTCCATTCTGCAACTGACAAGCTGATCCTAAAACTCATGGAAACTCACAGGACCCAGAATAGCCAAAACAACGCTGGAAAGCAGAAGGTTGGAGGACCCACACTTCACGATTTCAGAACTTACTGCACAGATACAGTAATCAAGATAGTGTGGTTACTGGCACGAGGACAGCTGTACAGTCGATGGCACAGAAAGGAGAGCCCAGAAATCAACCCTCACATTGATGTCAACTGACCTTCAGCAAGGACGCCCAGAGAATTCACTGGCCCAAGAAGTACTGGGACCACTGGACATGAAACTGGGCTGGACCCCTTCCTGAACACCACACACAAAACCGAACTCAAAAGGGACCACAGAGCTAAAAGAATAAAGCTCTTAAGAGAAAACATAGTAAGTATTGCGTCAGGCAAAACCCTTAGATAAGACACCAAACGGAGGTGTATGATCCAGCTTCTCCAGTCTAGGTATACCCCACAGAAATAAAAACATAAATCCACAAAAAACCCTGTAAATGAGTGCTCACAGCAGCACTATTTGTAATAGCCAGGAAGTGTAAACAACCCAAATGTCCATCAGTTGACGAATGGATTTTAAAAACGCGGTCTCTCCATACAACGGCCTATCACACAGCAACGGAAGGCGTGAAGCGCTGACAACCTGCCACAACAGGGTGAGCCTTGAAATTACAAATACCACACACCGTATGATGCTGTTCCTATGAAGGTCCAGAATAGGCCAATCCATCGAGACAGAAAGTAGATTAGTGGTCGCCAGGGGCTGGAGGCTGGAAGGAACGGGGAGCAAGTGCTAACGGGTATGGGGCTTCTTTCTGGGGTGAGGAAAATGTCCTCAAACGACTGTGGTGATGGCTGAAAACTCCGTAAATACACTAGAAGCCACTGAATTGTACACTTTAAATTCATCCATGAGGGCTTCCCTGGTGGCACGGTGGTTGAGAATCTGCCTGCTAAGGCAGGGGACACGGGTTCGAGCCCTGGTCTGGGAGGATCCCACATGCCACGGAGCAACTAGGCCCGTGAGCCACAACTACTGAGTCTGTGCGTCTGGAGCCTGTGCTCCGCAACAAGAGAGGCTGCGATAGTGAAAGGCCCGCGCACCACGATGAAGAGTGGCCTCCGCTTGCCACAACTAGAGAAAGCTCTCGCACAGAAACGAAGACTCGACACAGCAAAAATAAATTAATTAATAAACTCCTACCCCCAACATCTAAAAAAAAAGAATAAATTCATCCATGAACGCGGCAAAGGTTACTGCAGCCTCGTTTCAAGAACTGCCGCAGCCACCCCAGGCTTCAGCAGACGCCAGCGTGGAGGCCAGAGCCTCCACCAGCAAAGCAGCAATGTCTCACTGGAGGCTCAGATGGCGGTCAGCGCTTTTCAGTCACAAAGTACTTTTCAATTAAAGTACCTACACTGTTTTTTAGACATAATGCTATTGCACATGTAACAGACTACAGTATAACACAAACGTAACTTTATCTCCACTGGGAAACCAAAAAATTCACGAGACTGGCCTTATGACGAGAATTCGCTTTACTGCAGTGGTCCGGAACCGAACCCCCAGTGTCTCCAAGGTGAGCCCGTGCAGAAGTAGAGTGAACCCACACGGCCTCAGCTCCCCGGGGGAGAACGTAACCTCTCCCCACTGCCCTGACGCCCGCGCCCGGCAGCCGCCCTTCTCCTCTCTGCTGCTACGAGCTCACCTATCCTGATTCCACACAGAAGTGAGATCGCGCAGCGTTTGCGCTGCTGCCCACTTCACTTAGCATCTCGTCCTACAGAGGCTACATATGTTTTAACCAAACCGTTTGAAACAGGCAATAATAAACGGACCAACTATCGACACTAAAGTTGAAAACACATTTCCTGCTCCATTCCATCCCCAGTCACCTGTCACGGCTACTGTTTCTCCTCAGTGATAATTCATGGGCTTGAAGAAAGTGAAATTTCCAGCCCCAACTTTAACCCCAAAGGCTGGAAAGATTTTCCATGGAAGGGACCCTTAAAATTCATGTTCTCACTAAATTCTGGTAAAGCAAACACACGTCTGCCTTTTAAAATGTTCTTTACCCACAGATGGCTAGGAAAGTCCAACCAACACTCACAGTGCCCTACACCTTCTCTCCCTTGAGCTTTTGTTCAGCTTAACTCGAAAAGCAGAAGCTGAGCCAGGAGCCCCTCCAGCTGCTGAAGCAAGGGCGGCAAATCAGGGTCACCATGACCGCTAGCCCCCTCGAGGCACATGGCCGATACCTCCCAGGGCTGGAGCTGGGGCAGGCAGTCTGGGGGCACTGAGAAGGGCCCCAACGAGGGCAGGGAGAGCTCAGCAGGTCCCTGAGATGTGTCCCCTCGGAGAGTGACACCAGGGCAGCGTCGGAGGACCTGGGCAGCGGGAACACACAGAATGTGGGGTTGGTGTGCCATCCGAGCTATTTCCCCTGATCCAGGACAGTACTTATTTCTATTTCAACTTTTTGAGGCTAAAAAATTAGTTTCATCTTTTTAGATTAAAGCAGGCATAAAGTTTCAGTAGTAAGGAAGAGCATAAATGATCAACGAAAAAGTAAATGAATGCACGTGTACACAGGAGGGTGAACTAGAGTCTACTGCCCACTCCCCCATCACCCAGCGCCGGCTACGCTGGCTTTAGCTGAAAAGGACGGTAGGGGACAGAAGAGAGTGCAAAGGCAGCAGAACAACTGGCCCGTGGGGTCCAAGGCCCAGGAATTTCTAGACCAATGAGGACCTCAGGTGGTCAGAGAAGCACCAGGTTAAGAAATTAAACCAACAAGGGCTTTCAAGAGGACCCGTTGACGACACAAAGCTAGAACCACCAGAACACCTTTCACGTTTCTCTCTAAGTGCACAACTTACAGCAACGGTGAAGTCGCCGGAACAACCCAGAAGCACCCTCTCCCACTGGCTCGCTGTGACAGACTCCCACTGGGCCCAACTGGGCACCGTGCAGAGCGCTTCACAAAGCGTGGCCCTCGGCCAGCCCCGGGGGGCACTGTGCCCTTACAGCGGGCACCAGGAGCAGGCTGCCAGGGGTCCCCAGCAGGAAGGGGTCGCGGGGAGGCGACCGCGAGCCTGAGCGCACACCTGGCCACTGCTAACCCCGCTCAGCCCGGATGCTGGGACTCTCGTCACGTCGGGCCCCATGGAGACTTCCTCGGCCACAGCCTGAGACCAGAGCCCCAGGAGCGAAAGAGGGCACCGTTCAGCGGTGCCCTGCTCTGGTTTAAGCGCATCCCTACCTTTACGCCTAGTGTCTCCTCTATTCCCCAGGCCACGTTCTATCCGTCTCAACTCCTCCTCCAAGACACACACAGAGCAACAAACAACGGAAGATGCAATTCCAGTAGACTCCCCCAATCTAAGGGCCGAGCCTGTGGGAACAGGCGTGGTTAATAATTCTACACGTTACCTTGACGTTTTCGAGAAGAACGTCGTCTCTGCCTAAGCCAGGCCCTACGACCAGGGCGTGCAGTCGGGGCAACCACTTTTCTACATCTTGGACGGCACTGGGGCTGTCACTAAAAAAGGAAAAGAAGGGCAAAACAGCTTGAAATTTTCATCTTTTGCTTTACTTTATTAATGAAACTACAGATTTTTCCAGATTTTCCCCCAATGTCCTTTTCTTGTTCCAGGACCCCACCATAGTTGTCTAGCTTTCAACATTCAGATGCCCCTGAAAGCATTCTGCTAAGTGAAATGAGCCCAAGAAACACAAATAGTATATGCTATCTCTTATACATGGGACCTTTAAAGCAAACAAACAAAACAAAAAAACCGCAAAAAGACGACACCAAACTCACCCATAGAGAAGAAACTGCCGGTTGCCAGCAGCTGGCGGGGTTGCGGGGGCGGGGGGGAACTTCTGGGTTTTGTTTTTGTTTGTTAAAGAGCAACAGAGCACTGACATGTGCTACGACGTGGACAACTCTCGAAAACAGGATGCTAAGCAGAAGAAGGCAGACACAAGACCTCACAAATATCTGATTCCATGCATAAGAAATGTTCAGAAAAGGCAAATGTTCGGAAACCAAGCAGATGAGAGGTCGCCTCAGGCTGAGGTGGCGATGGGGAGGGGCTTCCGTCCTGGAGTGGTGGGAGCGTTCTAAGATTATCTGTGCGGTAACAACCTGGCAAGCATACCACAAACCACTGTACAATTAAAGTCAGTGGATTTTATAGTGAATCATATCCCAGTAAAGCAGTTCCCTACACACACACATTAGCAACAGTCCCGGGAGCAATGGTGGAGAGAGACATTAATATCCAGGACTGATGGGGGTTCTGAGACGGCTGCAGGGAGGAGGGGGTATTGAGTCAGTGGGTGTGAGTTTCAACGGAGCTGGAGGTTTTGGAACGAGAGGTGATGGTCTGGGAGGACGCACATCCCACCTCCAGACCCAGTGGCTGGGGGAACAAAGGAAAAGCCACCTCCACTTAGGAGGCTCGCAGGGGAAGCCACCCACTCTGGGGACAAGCAGACAAGAGAAGGAGGGAGCAGCAGGGTCATGAAACACGGTGAAAAAGTGCTGTTTTACGGGAAATGACAAAGAGCAGCCTGGCTGAACAGAGACTAGGAGCCAGTATGGCGTGATGTGAGGGCAGCATACTCTTGGGGATGAAACTCAAGCACGGAAACTCAACTCTCACTTGCTGGGTCCCTTCCCAGGTCCCGGGAGGGACCCCAGCAGTTTACTCGAGTGGTCCACATGTTTCTGTGAACTCCTCAAAAGCAGGCAGAGGATCTGGGTCTCACCAAAGCTGAGGCAAATGGAACTTCCTTCCCATCAGAAATAGAGTCAATAATGCAGGATATATAGTCATGAACATATTACACTTTCTTTTTCTTTTTCTTTTTTTAAAAATAAGACTCACAGGGGAAAAAGTATGTAAAACACGTTAAAATAAGACATGATGACTCATTTCAAAATGACCCGTGCCAGTCTGGTTCCATCACACAGGCGCACAGATGCAGTGCGGGCTGCACTCCTACCTGTGGTGCAGACGTCCCCACCTCAGGCCTGCGGGGAGGTGTGTGCCCGGCGGCGCCCCGACCCCCTGCGACATCAGGAGCCCTCCTTAGGCCCAGACCTGATGGCTGCGCGCAACTCTGAGGCCCGGCCGCCACTCTCAGGGCCCACAGGCTACCAGACGGCCCGCCCTGCTCCCCAGCAGCCCCGCTCGGGCTGCCGGCGACCCTGCACTGGGGACCCCACACTGGGAGCCGAGGCCTCGTGTCCGGCTCCAGGCACGGGCTCTTCCAGGACCATCCGCAAAGCTCTCCACTTGGCCCCAGGACGCCCTCCAGGCCCCTCCAGTCTGCTCCCAGCCGCCAGCGCGCCAGGCCCTCCCGACCCACACACAGCTTCGCCTCCTGGTTTAAATGCAGCCCACGTGCTAACAACTCCCAGATCTAGGCTCCCCTGCCCACCCCACGGCCACCAGCCACGTCCGCCGGGATATCAGCAGGCCATGGAGATGACAACCTGCTCAGCCCACACTCTGGTGGCTTCCCCACGCTCCTGCCGGGTCTCACGGCCCGCCTGCGGGAGGGCGGGGCTGCACTCCCCTGCTGTGGCCAGGCTCTGACCTGCTCCTGTCTCTAGCCCAGCACGCAAGCGTCCCCAGGGGCTTACCACAGCCTCCCAGCGGGACCCCTGCTTCCACCCTGGGCCCCAAGGGCCAGAACCCTTACTATGACCCCCACGACTAGCAAAGCGTGGCCCTGAACCTCTCTGGTCACCCAGCCCCTCCCGAGCACCCCAGACTAAGTGTCCCCAGCAGGCCTGCAGCATGAGCTCCCGCGCCCGCTCCCCCCCAGCCCCCGTGTCTGCGCCTTCACTGGATGCCACGCCCTGCGCCACTGCCCACGGCGACCCTAGGAGCACCCGCCACACACACACGCGCACCCAGCACTCCCCGCCCCGTCCTCTCTGTGGTCCTTAGCACCGCCTGACAAGCTGTTACCTCGTTTGTCCTCCAAAGCTGTGTACATGGCCCAATACAGTAGACGCTGACCACGCGGGGCTTTCACATGTAATTAAAATCAAAGTAAAAACTCAGCTCCCGAGTCCCACTGGCCGCATTTCAAGCGCTCGGCAGCCACAGTCTCGCACAGCACAGAGAGAAAAGCTTCACCGTTGCAGAAAGTTCCAGGGCACAGGGCTGCCCCGGAGAGGAAGCTGCACGGGAGCAGGTCTTGGGCTGCCCGGTCAGATGCTGTCCCCGCGGAACCCAGGACAGAGTCCAGCATGAAGCGCTTGCTGAACGATCGAACGGTCATTACCGCTGCCACGTGAGACACTGTCACAGGCAGGCCCACGGCCCTCCTGGGCCTAGGACCCTCCGGCCATTGCTGACGGGCCACAGGGGACAGCCCGGGCAGCCCTGGTGCCCAGGTCTCCTGCACACTGTCTGTCTTATTCTGACTACAGACGCGGGTTCATTATTGTTCCCTCGCTTCTTCCGACAGCACCCTCCCACCTGCCCCCTCCCTGCACCGTGGCTACTGCACAGCGGCTCCACAAAGGCGAGGAGACCCTGTGACCCAGGAGAGTGGCTACAAGCCCCGCGCCCGCCGGGGCCCCACTCACAGAACCGGGTGAACGATCAGCTCCGGGCTGTACGACTTGATCACAGGCGCGGCATCCTGGGTGGTGAACACGTGGGACAAGTCCGCGCCCTGAGGAGGGGCACAGGAGGCCGGCTTAACGCGGGACAGACACTCCAGAGTACTGGTGGCTCTGGTACAAGCGTGCAAATTCCGCAGCACTGTCCGAAAAAGAAAAGCACCCACTGCTGCAGGTAACCCACAGCCAGGAAGCGGCTGAGAGGCCTCCGGCCGGCGGCAAAGCCTAAGGAAGGCCTGGAAAGAGAGGCGGACTTCTGCTGCCGCCAAAGAGGCAGGTGGCCCCGCCGGCTCAGGTGGCATCACGATGAGGTCTGCAGAAGCACAGCCCATGTCACAGTCCCTGTGCCACTGGGCCTCCAGGACTTGAACAAAACGCTGCCATGACAACTGACAAGGTTAAAAGCGGTCCACTGCTTACGCTAGGACGGCAGGGCAGCCTGGGCCACCGCGGTGAAGTGCAGCTCACTTTAGAGAGAAGTGAGCCCCAACCCAAGCCATTTGTGGCTGCGCAAGAGGTCAGCGTAGAGTTAAAGGTGTGCCTCTTACCACCATTACCCAAAATGTTATTCAGATTTCTCTGAGTATTGAGAGAATATTCAGAAAACATTTGCTTCAGTCATATTTAAATAATCCAACTCTTTACTAGAACAATCCTGAAAGAGAAGCTATGAACAAACATACCACTTTGAGAGCTGAGATTGCTGCAAAATAGGGGGCTCCAGTGTACCTAAAAAGAAGACATTTACAGTCAAAAACATCTGAGAATGAGGCAAGCACACCAGGCTTATCAGTAAATTACACAGACACGCAGCACCCGGGCACGGCCCAACCCTCAGTAGGGGCTCGGGAAAAGGGTTATCAACACGGATTAGTTCCAGGAAAGTCAATCTTTCCTATGGGGCCTCTGAACCATGTCAGGAGAGGCAGATCCTGGCCAGGTGCCCCAAGGTCTCTCTGAAATGCGTTATGTGCAAACTGAAGCCTTGACAGATGGCTTCAGGGGGCCATAGAGAGGTCAAACTTATCAAATTGTACATTTATAACATTTGCAGCTTGCTATACCAACCAGACCTCAATAAAGCTGTTAAAAAATGAATCTCCTAAGGTACGATGGTTCGGCAAGATTTATATCAACCGAAAAAAAAAGGTTTTTTTCTATACCAGGAATAACTGATTAGAATATATGAGAGCATCTACCATACCAGCAAAAATCATAAAGCATCTAGGAATTAACCTTATAAAACACATGATAACTCTGTGGGGACATTTTTAAAACCTATTAAAGAATAGAAGAGATGTACACTTGATGAGAGGACTTAATACTATAAAGACGACACCTCTCTCTAGACTAATATAGACACAGAAAGCACTTGATTTATCAGAAATGCACACAGACACAAGTAAGAGAAAATGCAACACCAACTGAACAAGACTGGGGTTCTGTTAGCAAGGATGGTAGGGATGTGTGTTAGGGGAAAAAACAAAGCAAAACAAAACAAAACCTGGAGGTCTGAGCAGACAGGGAGAGTTTCCCAAAGGCAGCTGCAGAGAGAGACAGTGTGCTCAAGGTGACCACAGGCCGGAGCCCCTGGACTGGCTGGTGCCCCAAGGAGCAGGACCCACCCCCGAGAGCAACGGTGAGCAGAGGCAGCGATCACCTCGGACGTGGGGACAAATGAGAAGAGACTCGCACGCCTCCCTCCTGCTTCCACCCGCTTGCTCGGAAACGCCTGTAACTGTTTAAGGGCACTTCAAGCACAGCGAGGAAAATCCATGAACTTGACATCAGATGAGTGACTGTAACTGTGACGTCAATCCCAGGGGTGACGAAGAGCTTTGCTAACCCGAACAGGGACACATGCCCAGGGCACGTGTGACACTCTCCCCAGGGCAGAGCCATGAACTCGCCCGAAATGCCAACGGGCAGGACAGCGGACATACACACTCACCCCACAGTGTGAATACAAGCCTCCCTAAAGAAGAAATACATCCCCCTCGCTTAGAAAGAGCAGTCACTGTCACGCTGGGGAAAGAAACACAATCTAGCTACACGTTATTTTAGTAAATACAGCCAACTACATGCTAAACTGTTGAAAGGACAAGGCTAGGCAAAGAGCATATCAGTGCAAACAGAAAGGAAGCAGGAACTGAATGGTAACCAAGGTGGAATTTAAGTCAGAGGCAGCAGGCATCACAAGCAAGGACAAATTACAAACCTTCATGTGTCAGCACAGCAGCATGATATATAAAACTGGAAGAGAAAAGGCCTCGGAAAAAAGCTAGGATCTGTCAGATTTCAGAAGGAACTTCCAGGAATAGCTTTAAATTAAGAAAGGAAAGCAAGCAGATGCTGAGTGCCTCTACCTTGATTACAGAAGTAACCAAGGCTCACAGTAATGAACGCCGTCAGTACAGACAGCACAAAGTAAGAAGAAACAGCCTCACCCAATCGGCGCCCCATGCTTTTTCTGCTATTCAGTCAAATGTTCATCACTGAAAACTACTCTGCCAGAATATCAGAGGACCCTTGGAAATGACCCCCGGGGGACAACTGGACGAACGGAGGGACAACAGGTAGGCGAGCAGCCAGAGAAGGATGCTGCGTCCGCGCAACTTACTCTGGGCAGCCTCCCACCACGCCTATCCTCCCAGCTTGCCCTTTGTGCTTCCAGGCGGCCAGAGGAGGCACCACATTCCTCACCAGCTGCAAAGCAGCCTCCATGTCCATTACAGAGCGTGCTGTATGCAGTGGAAATGCTTGATTTAAAACTGAAAAACAGGAAAATGTTCAGAAAGGTAAGTGTCTACCAGCATACATCAAAAACAGACTTGAACAAAATACCCCAATAATCAAAACACTTCTCAAAGCTGGCTTAATATGAATGCTGTAGATTTTTATCCAATGGTTTCATCATTTCATTTCTATAAGCAAATGCTGTTCAGAAGTAACAAGACAACACTACTAACACTGTTGCATGGACCAGATTTACTTCGAATGTATCAGATGTCTTGGAAGTCTACTTAAACTTTCAGAAAGTTTTTTTAAACGCACTGTTACTTAATGAACTCCACATATTTCTTCGTGATCTTCAAGTCTATTAGGTCTCTTCTCCCCTTTGCTGCTTTCCACGGTCTATTCAAGCCAGACAGCTGGTTCACATTATTCCCAATTCATTTTCCAGCCAAGGCTCCAGCACTCAATTAGATAATCAAATAACCTGGAAATGGCACTCTGAATAAGGAACACATCTTACACTGGGTTCAAAGTGGCATTTTAAAATAGTTTGATCATTGAATTGTCTATAAATAGCTAATTTTAATTGGCCTTTCTTGAGAAACTTCCTGTGTTGTATGTTTTGCCATATTATTAAAAATAGCTCAGCTGTGAGAGAAATCCTGTGTTCTGTAGAGCCCAATGTATGAATAGATAATAAAGCATGCATTTTCTCTAGAATTAAAGGATCTTTGCTGATACGAACAACATTTTCACAAAAAAGGCATCCAATATTTTTATCTTCCCATTATCTCAGCAGCAGAGGAAAACCAGACGTGGGTCACAAGTCCAAGTGAAGAACAGAGGCTGACTCAGCTCCATACATATGGTAAAACAGCTTTACCTTCTATCACTCTTACAATTTTACTTTTCACTCAACGACGTTATTCACGTAATTTTCCTTAATGAGTAGATGTAAACGCCTCCTTAGCCGATGTATCAGATGGATGCTTAGACCCAAGATGTAAAAAGAATATTAACTACCATCCATCCAAACGCCTTCCTACCTTCTTCCAAATCAACACAGGATTAAAACTCCAAACAGAATCGCCGTAACCCTAACCCTTTGGCCGTGAAAAGGCACAACAAGGCTTGCTCAACCATCAGTCCAGCCCCCGACGCCTCTGCCCCGGGCCAACCTGGGCCAACCTGACGCAGAGCTGGGCCACAGAGGCGCTGACCTAACAAAGCAATCAGCTCTCACTCCCCGCCCCCGGCCCCAACCTCCCGCACGCCCGCCTGCACCCCAGACTCCCAGCCACGCACTCTCTTCGCCACCGTGCACAGCGGCTGTGAGACAGTCTTGCCTGGGCTCCCTGGCCAGCTGCAGGACAGGAACCGCAGCTGTTACAGGCGGATTTCAGGACGGCCCTGCTGACCGCTGACGAGCCGTCTGTGCGCTTACCGAGGTGCTTGTCATGCATCTGTGTCAAACTTGAACACACCTAGCATAACGTGACTGGTCAATGCGAGGATATCGGAGAATGGTCTCTCCTCCAAATGCCCCAGAACAATAAATACAGGTGCTTTTTGAAGTCTGGAAATTGTGAAGACAGAATCCAAACTTACCAGTCACTCACGGATCGTTCTGAGTCCCTTACAATGTTTTGGGTTTATTAGCTGCCATCACTTTAAGCAGCTAGCCACACACAGAGTATCCCAAGACCACCCCTACACCTTCTGCCTCCACAGAATGAGGTATAGCCCCAACCTGTGACTTAAGGGCTGGACTCCCACCCTCAACCACCTGGAACAGAGTCTGGCACAGAATAAGCCACTCAATAAATGCCTGATGAATTACCGGCATCTTGCCTCACTCTCCTCATTGGGAGCCAGTTTATCCTTCTTTTACAGACAAGGAAACTGAGGCTCAGAGACAGACCTGTGAAGATGCTATGGTTAGGAACGGATAAGCCAGGGCAGAAGACACCCTTTTACCAAAATGCTGCCATTTTCAGGCAGAAGAATTTTTTTTTTTAATCAAATAATTATGCCACGAACCAAAAGACAAGTCAAATCCTTCTCAAATGCCTTCTGAAACCAATCTGGGATGGATAAAAACATCACTGTTGAGAAGTACAGCCTTTTCACTTTTTAATTGCAATTGTGTGACTGCAAAGCACAATCCATCCTGCTCATTAGCGTTCTGTAACACTCATCTGAGATCAACACCTGTTAGTGAGAGGGCCAAAGGAAGGTCAGTTCAACTTCCCTACACTCCACTGAGAATCA